AATTGTAAATGAATGGGAAAAGCGAGCGACCGATTTCATTCTCGGTATCATTTTGCATTTGAGAACGGTCAATCAAAGTAATATCATTTCTTTTTGTTTGGGAAAGAGAGACACTGACAGCGGTCCACTCTACCCATGATTATGGGTTTTGGTTAAATATCATCTCTTTTTGATTATAATGTCAGGGTACTTTATAAAGTCGAAATATAAACTGATATCTTCATTAATAAGGAGGAAGTTTCAACGATTTCGAAATCTATCCTTTAAAAACATTTCCTTGTGTTTAGGGAAGCATATCGGTCGATCACTGACTGAATATGCCACTTAATACTCATTCAAGTTGGCATTAAATTCATATATAATGACATTAAACTGTCGTGGCAAAGCAGAATTTGTTGGAAATAACGAATGAGCAAAATTCTCACCTTTCGCACGTGCAAACTTTGAGCAGACGTTGCGTGCGCATCCAATATTGAATCGCCGTAAATTTTTGCATGTAATTGTTTTATATATAGATTGATAAGCATGCAAAGTTTCAAAGTATTTTAAGAAGAACTGTAATCACAACGGCACTCTAAAGTTGACAGAAAATGACGAAAACAGCAATTTTCAGTGATTTTAGCGATTTTCTATCAATTTGGGCGTGTCCCAACGTGTGCAACTTTTCGATTTTCAACTTTAAAACTAGCCTATGACACAATTTATACCTATAGGAAGCAGAACTGAGCTCCACAACCCAAGGCATGGCCCAACACCAGAGAATACTAAATCGCAAAATTGACGTTTTTATAAAATAATTCTTCAAAAAAGCACAAACTTCAATGACGAATATCTTTATGAAGGAGCAAGCTAGAAAAACTTTCTGGTAGATTTTCAGAATGCTTGAACAATTATCTAAGATGAAAATTTCCTCAGATTTTGAATAAAATTACTCCTTAATGGTTTAAAATTAATTTTAAAAGTTATTACTTTGTCAAAAATCAAGTTTTAAAAACGGTTAACTTGATGACGTCATCAAGGGGTGTTTATGACGTCATATAATTTTTTTATACAATGTAAACTAAAGTATAAACAATTATTTGCAAGACCTGTGGTCGGAAATGGCTGTATCTTTTATACTTTTGAATCTATGGACAATTAAATACAGGCTACAATTGACTGGCAAAGCGTCTATCCCTGAATATATATATATATGTATATATGTATCACGACAATCTATCGTAAAACAGGGGTTCTAGAAAACCCACTTCCCGATGCTCCTGAAACCTGAAACTTTTTTTGCAGTCGATTTGGTCAACGTCTAGACGCCCTGAAAAATTTCAGATCTCTAACTCAATTTTAACATGGTTTTTAAGGCACCTGAATATGGCGATTTTGGGTTTTTTACCGAATTTCGTATAACAGTGCTGGCGAGTATTTTATGCAAATTTCTTAAAAATCTCAACATAACTATTTTTATTCCTGTCATCTTTGACATCAAATTAGAATGTTTTGAACTAAAAATAAATCTGCTGAACGACTTCCGATGAGTCTTAATGCCTGAAAAACTCCTGCCGGAGGCGGCGGCCTTCGGCCGCCGCCTCCGGCCGGAGTGCACGCTTCGCGTGCACGAAAGAGGCTTCCGACGAGTACCAAAGGGGTTATAATAGTAAAGGGGGTATAATAGTAAAGGGGGTACAATAGTAAAGGGGGTACATAGTATACCCCCAATAAAGACACCGCTCGTGCTTGCCAGCACTGTGATTTGACCAAAACCCATAATCATGGGTAGAGTGGACCGCTGCCAGTGTCTCTCTTTCCCAAACAAAAGGAAATGATATTAATTTGACTGACCGTTCTCATATGCAAATTGATACCGAGAATGAAATCGGTCGCTCGCTTTTCCCATTCATTCACGGCTTACGAATTGTAATAAAGCTTATTGAATAGAAAAAGCGAGCGACCGATTTCATTCTCGGTATCAATTTGCATATGAGAACGGTCAGTCAAATTAATATCATTTCCTTTTGTTTGGGAAAGAGAGACACTGGCAGCGGTCCACTCTACCCATGATTATGGGTTTTGGTCAAATATCATCTCTTTTTGATTGTAATGTCAGAGTATTTTATAAAGTCGAAATATAAACTGATATCTTCATTAATAAGGAGGAAGTTTCAACAATTTCGAAATTTTTCCTTTAAAAACATTTCCTTGTGTTTAGGTAAGCATATCTGTCGATCACTGATTGAATATGCAACTATATAATCTATCAAGTTGGCACTAAACTCAAATATAATGTCATTTAACTGTCATGTTACTGTTAAAGCAGGAACTAAATCTAATCGAAATAAAGAGAGTGAAGTTCTCACTTTTTGCAAACTTTGAGCGGACGTTGCGTGCGCATCCAATATCAAATCACCGTAAAATTTTGAATTTTCGTATTTCTTATGTATTTTAATAAGTGTGCAAAGTTTCAGAATATTTTAGCAAGAACTCGCATCACAACGGGACTCCAAAGCTGATAAAAATCGTGAAAATAACAATTTTCAGTGATTTTAGCAATTTTCTATCAATTTGGGCGTGTCCCCACGTGTGCAACTTTTCGATTTTCAACTTTAAAACTAGCCTATAACACAATTTAGACCTTTAAGAAGCAAAATTGAGCTCCACCACCCAAGAGATGGCCCAACACCAGAGAATACTAATTCACAACTTTTGTGTTTTTATAAAATTATTCTTCAAAAAAGCACTAACTTCAATAGCAAATATCTTTATGAAGGAGCAAGGTAGAAACATTTTCCGGTAGATTTTTAGAATGCTTGAACAATTATCTAGGATAAAAATTTGCTCAGATTTTGAATAAAATTACTCCTTAATGGTGTTAAATTGATTTGAAAAGTTGTTATTTTGTCAATAATCAAGATTTAAAAACGCTTAATTTGATGACGTCATCAAGTGGTGACGATGACGTTAAATTGTTTTTTGATATAATGTAAACTAAAGTGTAAACGATTATCTTCAAGACCTATGGTTGGAGATGACTGTATCGTTTATACTTTTGAATCTACGGACACTTAAATGTAGGCTACAATTGACTGCCAAAGCGTCTATACCACTATACTATACTTCACGACAATCTGTTCACTGTTGTAAAACAGGGGTTCCAGGAAACCCACTTCCCGATACTCCTGAAACTTGAAAAAATTTGTACACTCGATTTGGTCAACGTCTAGACACCCTGCAAAGTTTCAGATCTTTTACTCATTTTTAACGTGGTTTTTAAGGCACCTGAATATGGCGATTTTGGGTTTTTTACCTAATTTCGTATAACATGCTGGCGCGTATTTTGCACAAATTTCTTGAAAATCTCCAAATAACTATTTCTTATTCCTGTCATCTTTAACATCGAATTAGAATGGGGGTAAGCAGTAAGGGGGGTAAATAGTAAAGGGGGTAAATAGTAGAGGGGGTAAATAGTAAAGGTGGGTAAATAGTAAAGGGGGTAAATAGTATTGTGAATATAAGGGCGACGGTCATGCTTGCCAGCATTGTGATCTTCACGACAATCTGTTGTAAAACAGGGGTTCCAGAAAACCCACTTCACGATACTCCTGAAACATGAAAATTTTTTTACAGTCGATTTGGACAAGGTCTAGACGCCCTGCAAAGTTTCAGATCTCTAACTCAATTTTAACATGGTTTTTAAGGCACCTGAATATGGCGATTTTGGGTTTTTTACCTAATTTCGTATAACATGCTGGCGCGTATTTTGCGCAAATTTCTTAAAAACCTCCACATAACTATTTCTTATTCCTGTCATCTTTAACATTGAATTAGAATGTTTTGAACTTAGATATACCTGCTGAATTACTTTCGATGAGTCTTAATGCCTGGAAAACAATAAAGGGGATATAATAGTATAGGGGGTAAATAGTGTTGTGAATATAAGGGCAACGGTTATGCTTGCCAGCATTGTGATATAGTGAATATCAGAATATATACCAATGTGTTTTTACGTGTTGATTTCAAATAAGACGTTCCTATTACAGTATTACGTAGCATGAAATTCATTTCTTGACGAGTTATGAGCAATAATAACCATTTTTGTCAAACCCAGAAAACCTTATTGGCTAGGGCCTAACTTACCTGGGGACCCCAGGCTATTATGTTCATAAACAATAAAGATTTGGCGGAATGACAGGCTGAGCGCGGCCCAGTAAGGGCCTAACTTCAAAAGTAAAAGAGATAGCGAATTCCAGTTTTAGCAAAATGATCGCTTTGTAAAAATTTGTCATACGTTGTATGACCCGCCGCGCACGAGTGCGCGGCTCCCCCTGTATCGTCAGGACTATAGTGAAACGACCGTGGGGGTCACAACGTGATACAAGTGAAAATAACGTTTCCTCCCCAGGAGGAAAATTAGGGACATCGTAGATTTTGAGTTATCCCGAAAAGTATGATTTTGGGCCGAATAAAGGATCGCAGCTTAATTATAACTTTGCAAATTAATGTGGTTGTCATGACTCCATAGATGAATTCAGATTATAACACGCGTGTAGAGCAGCGAGCTTTACGTCACGCGCGACGACAAACAGGCTATTGAAAAATTATCACCTCTAGTTATAGTAGTACTAGTAACAGTAACACCGCCAGCCAGTAAGGTTTGCTGGGAATGCGTGCACGTGACAGGCTTGGCTTGTAAAGCGATTTTTGAGCTGTTTATGTTTTAGGATTCGAGTTAGTTTTGGTTTTAAAGTAATCGAATTGTGAAGATAATATAAAGATTTGAAGTACAAATTTGTGCGCCTTAACGTTAAATACTTACCATTGAAATCGAAATCAGCATTTACAAATGTGCATCGCGCTACAAGTACAAGTACAATGTACAAGTACAATCCGGTATGATATAAAACTGATAACAGATAGTTTCTATTTTCTATTTATTTTTATTGCTCGCTCCTATACTAGTTCGATCTAGCTCTACATATGAGTATGACATAACAAGTGAAATTCAGAGTATTGGTCCGATATGATGATACCATTACCATATATTCTATCAAAGCAACATAATACTAATAGCATTACACATTAGCATTATAAAATATCATGAATTAATTAACATAATATTAATAACCAATCATTAATTTGTAATTGTATAAGTATAACCACTCTAAATTTGATATAAATTGTTCGAATTGTTGAACTTAAAATTAAATCCTAGTTGAATCAATATACCATCGGTCATGCTGCCAGTGGCAGTGCTAAGCGTACAAAACTGCGTTCAACAAAATAAAAAACGCGAAGCTTTTCCCGGATGATGGCTTATTTGGTGAATTTGTGAATAAAATTAACAATTAATTGAGAGGCACCTATCCTGTATCCGTCGCGGATTGTTCCCATTCATATCAGCTAAAATTCGTTAGATGATGATAACTTTCACTGCCTGCCACGAAACAAGGATGGCAATTCAATCGCAGACTGACGATAAAGCATTGACAATTAAAATGAATTGTGTCTAGTTGATATTTCTTAAACATAACAACACATTATGAATGATTTAAATAAACTAAACCTAAATCACTTCATGGTTCATCATTCATAGAATCATAGGATTGATGCATATATTAATCATTGAAATTGATTCTAGAACGTAGCATCAAAATCACACAATAACGTACGCTTATAAAATAAAACATACTAACTAAAAAACTTCTCTAACTCATTAAACTATACTCTAAAGGTTAAAAATAGCTTTTATTGTAAAGTTGACGTCTTTAGACTTTAATTGATTACATTCAGATTCTGAAGGTCTAACAATTGATCAATAACATGGTGGAAATTAGTCACCATACCTCTATTAATAGAACGATTAAAATCATAATAACCACAATTAAACTTAAGGGAAAACTATTTTCTATAATAAAACTTGAAGCCATAAGTTTGCAATCATGATCTCTTTAAAGAACTGGAAGACCGCTTGAAAGAATTCCTTGAAAGAGTGTTCTTTTTAAAGATATTCTGAAAGTTTTTCCACTGATTCCCTACCATTTTCATATTACTTGGATCTGGTACACTACTAATATCCTCACTCCCAGCCTCACTATTGCCACTGAGCGTACTATCGGAGTCATTGTCCTGCTGTACAGACTCTGCGCAGTCTTCCATTCCTGAAGTCAGAGAACTGGTGGACTGGCTGGAGAGAGAAGTTGTAGGTGAGTCCTCACTTCCGCACTCACTGGTTGCAGCTGACTTACTGCCACTGGTGTATCCTGACGTTACTGTGTTAGTCCTGCTGCGCTGTGTTCCGAACTTAAAGAACGACTTTCTACCGAGATTGTCAACGTTTGACTCGTTCTGGTAGTGGACCGAGTTCCATTGGTCGATGTCGATGTCAGTCTCGTCGAAATCACACAGAACTTCCTCGTTAAGCAGGTTGTAGCAGTAAGAACAGATTCTGACTGGCGCTTCATAACCGTAAACAGGAATAGGTAACCTTAGTAAGAAGAGTGATTCAACTTTCAGTTTTAGTGCAATACGTAGGACTGTTAACGTTATTTATGCTTAAATAGATTGCTGACATGCATATTGCTGTAACATTCGTAGTGAGAGATAGATATAGATATCTCAACATAGAAATTGACTGGCGAAAAGCTGTAACCATAGAAACCATTACATGGAATATGTACACGAAATATGTTAATATGTACTACAATTCAATAAAGATGTAACAAGAGCTCAATAACGTTTCACTTTACCTCTGGATGGAACAATCGTAGCAGAAGACGCGACCACAACACCGGCAGTGGTGTTGCGAATATCCGTCTCTGAAGACCTTGCTGCACTCCGTGTTACCACACTTCCGTGTTACACTCTTCGGTACCCAACACAGCTTGTACTTCTTGTTCAGCTGCAGAACTTCTTCCAGTGCCTGAGCGAGGTTTAGTTTGTAACCGTTTACTTTTAAAGTCATTCAACAGTGCAGGACATTTAGGTTATCGTTCACATATAACGTAAGCCAAGTTAGGGGGCGGGAGTTTACATAACAGCTATGAGTTTATTTGGGGGGGGGGGGGGGGGGGCGGGGGGGGGGGGGGGGGTATAAGCTCTAAAGTAACAAACATCCCTCCCTTACACCAGGACACGTTGTTCTGGTTTAACTGGGGTTCGTAAAACAGGACACGTTTTTAATCAACTCATGCAACAAAAGCCAAAAGGTCTATGATGATCGAAATCAAACAGTTATATCTGAAGAAATATATTTAACATTGATCACTTAAAGGTCACATATTTTTAAGTTAAGATCGCTTGAGAGAGTGAACCTTCTCATAACGATCGTGATCTTGACAAGGTTAACCCTAGCGCCTAATTGTATGGTTCATTATTATACAAATACAAGAGGCTATGACGAATTTCATTAGTACACTAATTGATCCCAACTGACCCGCAAGGCATCCTCCGCAATGTACTTCGAGGCCTCCAGATCCATTTCAAGTTTGCTGACAACGTCTCGAATGTTGGTAATTGTATTAACGCGCTTTTTATTCAATTTCACCATTTCGCTGTTTGCAGCCAGCACCGCGTTTAATGCCTAAACGGGAATTTGATAATTTCACATTTATTAAGTACTTAGCAGGTTTCCTTATGGCGACATTTTCATTCATTCATTGCATACATGAATTCAGCTAAACGTGCATCACACTTTAGTGCCTCGTTAACCTGTTAATATTAAGCGTGATCAGTGACTGTGAGCATCATAGCCCATACTAAGTATTTAATTTCGTGTCGATAACGTTAAAAGTTCTTTATTTAATTTTTGTCTTAAGAAACACATTTGGCACGAGGACTGACCCTATTAGAATTTATCTCAAGGTCTCTAAGATGCTGTTTTGTTTCTCTCCAGCCGGTCCGAAGCATCTTGATGTAGCCTCCATAGTTAACGTTCATTTGTTCGCTCTCTGCGAGAGCAGATTCGCATAACAGCAGTTCATTTATCATTTTCTCGCGAGTTATCGCCTCTTTCAATGCTTCTCCTAACATATCGACCAAACCCTAGACAATGATTATAGTTGTCTGTAAATCAACTAGCTTCGCAGAGCTTCGAGGTTTTTCTTGTTAAAATATTTCATGTCAAGTTGACTTTTAAATTGATTTTTGCGAGCAAATTAAAGCAAGCAAATTAACGCACGATCAGACTGTTGTGGGGCTAAAACGGGTCAGCTGGGCTAAATAAGTAAGAAAACTTGACGGAACCTGTTTGGCGTCTTCCTCCTGAGTCTTTGCTTCCAATAAGTCAGTCTCCAGGATGCTGATGGTGTTGTTGTAATAGTCTTTCAGTTGCAGCAGTGCTGCGATCTTGTTTTCCTTTTCTTCGGATAAAGTAGCCTCAAACCTAAACATAAACGTTGTGCGTGACAGTGACAATAAAAATGGTAAGATAATCCGATGTTTCTGACTGAGATAAGTTTTCACGTTTACGTTTGGTAGTTGGAATAACAATTAAAAGTACCCAGTACTTTCTTCCGACCTGTCAGTTTCAACTTTATGCTCCTCGGAGCTGAGTACCACTTCATCTCTAAGAGTCTGTATTTCTTCCTTTAGCCGAGTTATCTTCTCGTTGTTGTCGGCCACTGTTTTCTTCAGCTTGTACGGATCAACTCCTTCAGCAATTACTCCTCCTCTGTCTTTTAGAGACCTAAAGCAGAATAACAGTCGTTGGATAAAAGATACAATAAGTTATATCGTTAATCGTACTTTTACAGAAAATTAGAATCTGTGACATTTTTGTATTGTACGGCCAGTCAATTCAGATTTCAAATTTAGAAAGCCATGTGTTTGAAATTTTAAATTGTGAAACAGAAATGACAGAGAAATGATTTCATTAGCAAGCATCTTCTTCATCTTTTAAATTTATTGTACGTTTGTACAATTCACTCATCACAATTGAATTGTTTATGTATGAAACATTCAGTTAGTTTGTTTGATATGAGGTATGTTTACATGTTTAATTTGGATGTAAAGAATAAAGTTTCATGCGAACCATTTCTCTTGTATTCAAATTGACGATGTACATTAAACATTTGTTAATGTTTAGTGCGTCATTTGTAAGATTAAAGACGCAGTTTTATTGTGATCTTATACGCAGTAATGTAAGTGAGCGTATTGAACAGAAGTATGAACATGCATGTCGTAGGCTACAGGTCACACAGATTTAAAATATTGATTCATCTGGCTCACATGGCTATCGAATTAAAAATGACTAAGCTGATATCGTTTTTGTAGTTCCTTAATAATAATAATAAACCTTGATAATAGCTAAGAGTCACGATGATGTATACATGAATTACTAACGTAATCAGGTACATAGTACGTGAAGCCGATGATATGTCTCCAATTTTTGGTGTACATAGATTATCTCCATATCAAGTTTCAGTATAACAACAAGGAAATATCTTAAATCTAAGCTTGTATTCTCGCGGTTCACGGACATGTTTCACTAGTCACTACTGATAATGAGAGAATGTACCTAAGTCACGTTTTTACCTGTAATTTATGGATTTGTTGCGGCCAACTTTGTTGTTTTGCTTCTTTTCGAAAGGGTTGAGGCACTTTATTTTAGACACAATGTATCGTAGACATGCTGACACATCGTCTGGCAGATCCAGCTTCGTGTTCAGACACCTGGTTGAAATTACGAATTAATACACTTGTACTTAATAGTTATGCAATATGCATAGGTTTTTTCAGTCATACTATATTCTTATCATTGTTGAAATATAACCTAATCTTGACTACGAGACTAGGTTTTCAGAACAAGTCGTTAAAGACATAAAAATACAAATGTTAACTTGATCTTAAACATTGATATCGCTCAGAAAACAGTCACTTTAATCAGCACTAAAGAACGAACACGATCGTGTCTTGACAAATCTTATTTATGTAATTGATAAAACTAAGTTAAAAGTTAACCTACTTTAATATGATTGCACTGCTATCCCTGAACATAGTGGGTTCAAGTAGGGTTTGCAGTTCGAAGTTATCTGTTTGTAAAGAGATAGCTAGAGCAGTTTCTCTTTTGTTGCTCATTAGGAATGTGTTGATCCCATTGCTTACCAGAGTGTCGCATATCTGACCTGATAACCAATAGTTTGATCAGACTTATTACTTGAGTAAAACAGATGGAATATTAAGTAACTTATTTCTACTCATGTTTCTGTGGAAAGGAACTGCGAGCCATGACGCGGTACAGGGATATATGGAGACAGTTAGTTCCAACCTGGCGGGACAGCTTACAATCCCTCCATCCGGGTGATAATTTGAAGTTTAAATGTTCATCTTAACTTTGCTTATATTTCTTCCATACAAATTAACAAAGGGCTCTGCCATTTGCACCTTTTTAATAATGTTGCAAGATTCAGTTTCTCGAGAACTTACTTAAAGTTCTGTATTTGTACGGATGAAATGTGAAACTTCGATCGGACAAAAGAAGGATGTAGAACTAGATACGATCTACGCACTGGAATAGTTCGCACTGGCCACTAACAGTGTTGCCGACTTTTGCTTATGGTAGTCTCGTTTTACTACTACATGAAGGTTGCAGAAATGTTCTATTTTTGACTGCTTTTTAGTTCCTACTTGTTTAAGATGCTGCTCTTTGATTAGCTCATTTACTATACAAAGCTGTTCTTCTAACCTAATATATTCCTTTAATCGATGTTGTTGAGTGGCAGGTTCAACTTCAGATCTTGAGTTTACTAATGTTGCCGCCACAGAATTATGCTGAATGTTGAGTACATCTCAAGGCATACACCTGCCCACATTATACTACCACACTAGATTTGTTATATCCCACACTAGATTTGTACTCGTTTGTGCTTACTAAAAGTAAAAGGCATATCCGCTTAATGGCGGAATAGCCACTCAAAATAGCCACACTAACTCAAGTTTGTAGCAGTAATTTTGTCTCACTATGAAGGGCAAATCCACCTCCGGGTTCTTTGCTATAAATAATTGCCTAGGTCTAACAAGCATCGGCACAGCACACATACCATTACGGATTTCGTGTGTTTATGCACCATCTGCGTTATTCATGAGCCATCTGCGTCATCCGAGTGTGGACGAAAGCTTCTGCTCATGACAATTTAAATAGCTTGTCGACATTTTCACTTAATCGTTAGTCGCATGTCTGTGATACAACTCTCTTATACATTGCCAAATGTGATGTATCAAGCTGTGCTAGCTGCCTGCGATATACAAATCATGAAGCCTGCTTGAAACAGCATCAGATGTTATGAGTACATTGAGGATTGTTCAGTGCAGCTTCATTCATCCTGAGTTACAGCTCTTTAGAGTATCTTTGCCGCTTCATATTTGCTTGATACCATCTGCAGTTGATTGGATTGCAGCTGGTCTCCGGTCTCAGAGACTGATCAATTGTTCTTTTTACGGTTACTCATTGGTGGGAATTATGCGAATAATCAGATATGGAAAGGTTGATGGAGTTGCAGCATGCCTCTAAATAAATGAGCAGCATTTCTGACTCGTTTCGAGGACATTTCTATCCTGGTCTAATAACTTTGATGGTTAGATCATTAAAATGGCCACCACATCATCATTTACAAAGTCCCACGCACGATGCAAAAGACACCCTTTGACTGTTTCAATCAGCAAACCACTCGGCCAAACAATACTTTAATCCCGAATTTAGAATCCCTGTATACAAATATTATTCTGATTCTTGGTTGAGAACCAGTTCGTGACCCGAGCATAAAATACTCGCGGGGATTACAAGTAATGAGACTAACAATTTTGGTTTGTTTGAATTACTGTAGCTGAAACGGTTTAATATAGGGAACCGCATCAAAATATCACGATAGCCACACACAAATGATCACCCGGTTCGTAAACTAGATTTATTCCGTCGAGTTTTATTGGAGGGCTACTTGTAATATGGTTTGGTGGCTGCAAATCTATGCTGCTTTCAATATTTTAGCCGCTGCCTTCAAACAAGATTTTTGAAATAAAAAAGGCAAAAGCCACCTTTTAATATATAACCAACTTATGTCCGCTCTTTTGGTATTTTGTCTCAAGAACGCTACTCTCACCCCTGTAATTATACTGACATGTGTATTTAATACTCATCTTTGAGAATTTATTTAAAAACTTACGTTCTCCTCACAGGAACAATGTTACGGAAAGTATTACAACTTATACTTCTCCTTCTTTTCATCTCTGCTTCGGTCACTATCCCAACTAACCAGCTTTTTCAGAACACATTGAAACGATGGGGCATCAGACCACTTAGTGACCAAGATCGAACGTAATTTAAAAATCTTTACTTTTATAAAGTGTAGGTATAACCGTTATATTTTTATAATCGTTTAGTTATTGTACAGATGTTCGCAGGACCGTTCTTTATTCATTAATTTAAACATGATGTAATTTTCCAGGGAAAGATGGAACCGGTTTATGAAAGCAAAAGACTCCGTGGAACAGACCACAACGGATGTGCTTCTTGAAAGTCTAAACAAGTTTACCGTTCTAGTAAGTCTTTTTACATACTAGTATCAAACAAGAATGAGATGCCCAAGCATTAAGGCTCATAATACAAATCTATGTGTAATTTTAACTGAAGCTCAGGCCTTATCATGCGTAAATCTAAACTAATCTGATCGGACGTTTAGGATCAACTTATAGTTACATGTAGCTGTATCAATTTATGGGGTGGATGGATTTATCTGTAACCACGACTATACCCCCAGAATAATAAAGAATTTGAGTCTATGGTCAGACCATTGCTCCGAGGGTACAACATGACAGAAGTTCTAGAAGACATGTCATCGTGGTCTCCTCAAACAAGAACTGGGAGGAGTAACAGGGGCAAGAGATCGCTCCCTAAAACATTCGACTACTGGGAGAAAGAAGTTGGACTGAGCGAACCTCAGGATCAAGCTAGCTGTGGCAGTTGTTGGAGCTTTCCTAATGTAAGTTAATTCAAAACAAACCGTTATTTTCTGTTAATTATTAGATTATCGGGCTGCACAAACAGACAGACATTGAGCTACTTCTTGGCATTGATAAAGGGGCATTTTCCCAATTCAACGATCAGTTTTTAATTGTTTACATAATGAAAGAATGCTCTCGAATTGCTTAATTTCATTTTCGCCTCTACAATCTACATGGTCATATCCTTGCAGGTTGGGACTATGGAAGCTTTGAACAAACATTTGACGGGAGATGACACAGTACTCTCAAAGCAATATTTCGTGGATTGCACCTTTGAGTATTCTGGATGTGCAGGAGGGACAGTTAACGAAGGGTACAAAGTAACAATGATGAGACAATATGTTATGTCAGAAGATGACTGGCCCTATACAGCGGACTGTAAGTTTATATACTGTAGTTATATTGACAGTCATTATATTTGAAAATTAAATTAATATTTCGTAAATTAAAACTCAGAACTTGAAATAAAATTATCAGACCAGACGTGCACGTTCGCGGATGACATAGCAAGTTATAAAAACAACGCCTTGAATAAGATATGGATACAAGACTGGATACCACTTGGTAAAAACGAAGACAGCATGCTCCGAGGACTGCAGACTTCCCCGGTAGCATTTGGATCGTACATAAGTGACAACATCTTCGCTTACTCCGGAGGTAATAATGTCTTTACACTTGCAATCCGGCAACTTTATCCCGCGGAGGTCGGCCGTCATCTGTTAAATTTATCTGTACTAAAATAACTTAATACTATCATGATTGATGTTGCATTTTTAACATATTTTATCAACAGGAACATACAGCGATGCACTATGTGCCACTAATTCTCTGCCTCATGCGATGTTACTAGTAGGATACACTGAGACGACACTTCGTGTCAAAGCAAGGTAAAATCATGCATCGTGAAAAACTATTTGTGTGCTTATACTCCGTGGTTTGCTAATCGCACTATATTACGTCGAAATCATATTACGACAGCACTGTACTATACGACAGTTTCGCAGTAGAGTGCTGTCGTAATATAATGCGGGAACCCGTTGTTTGTGAGGTGAATGATACGTTTAATAAATCAAGTAAACGTATTATCTCATTAAAATAAAAGGTCATAAAACATTCATCAAACGTTTCTTTGAAGCTACGGGGCACATTTTGGAGATGAGGGCTACATCAACTACAAGCGCGGTGATGGTAATCTGCCTAGTTGCAGATTCTACGACAACGCTTACAGTCTCACTGCCACTTACAGAAGAGGTTAATTAATGATTTTGTCGTTGCAACTGTGTGTCATGTAGATTGTACATTGTACAATGTACAATGTATAATGTACAATGTACAATGTAGTTGTACTCCCAATTGATTTGTAAGCCATTCGAATCGTTAGAGATCGGATTGCTTTGATCATATGATTATGAATTAAAATTAGACGATATTGTGGAAAGGGGTAGACTTTGTCAAAGATATCCCCGACAAACATTCCACAGAGAAAACATGTTTCAGATGTGGAGTACGAGTATTGTAACGACGGAAAAGTAGCGACTTACGAGCAGTGTAAAGCGTCCTGCCAAGACATGGATACAAATGGTAAAACCGGCTGGGATCTAGCAACCATCCCCACCAAGATGCACAACCAAATCATCATGGACAAACTTGCAGTCGACTATCCAGGATCTAAGAAGAATGACAGTTTTAACTACCTCTGGATTGGATTAGTGTGAGTTCATTATAATTATATAAAGAAAATCATTAAAGGAGTTATAAAGTTCCTTTAGGGATTTATAATAGTTGAGATACAGTTAATAAACTGCGAAACAGTTAATAAACTGACTTTGTTATCGCAGTGCATTATTAATTATTGCTCTGACAATGTTTTCATTACAGAGATGAAAACAAGGATGAGAACTATAAGTGGCTGGACAGTTTCACTCCCGTCAGCTACTTCAACATGTCTAATTCTAATATTGGAAACAAGTACGGGCTGATTAACAAGAACACGGGTCAATGGTTAACCAAGAACTCTCTAACCTTCCCAGCAAGGGGTCTCTGCAGTCGACCAAGTAAGAGGGTATTTTAGGTATTTCTTTGGTGCTTTATGACAAATGAAACAGAGGCCTTCTGATGAAGACTGAAAAATGATTATAAGAAGAATCACCGTCACACAATATTTCAGTAAACTGCTGGAACATAGAAAATGCTATAAAGGATGGGACAGTTAAATTCAGCGAAGCAGATTTATCAGAAGGCACAGAGGCAACGATAAAATGTAAAGAGGGACAACTAGTAGGCGCAAACAAGCTGAAGTGTGTGGGGGGACAGTGGGATTCAGATCTTCCAACTTGTAGTATTGGAGGTGCGTTCAAACTGGAACCATTTAATTTACATTTGATAGATTAAGATCAGACAACAAATGTTACTAATGTTGCACGCTGAAAATGTTTTTACTTACTTATCGGTTGATTAATCTATTATCGCGTTCTATATCACGTTCAAAGTAACCGACAAAACTGCACTCAGGAGCATGTACGTACAGTGGAGAGGCAGGAACAAAAGCAACAATCCAACCAAACAAGCTAGACTTCGAAAACGAAGAGATGATAACGATCACCTGTACAAACGGGACTACAACCGAACATATTTGTACAAGCGGTGCTTTTATCCCCAGAATAGATGAATGTTATGATGACAATATTTCTAATTCAGTGGTGGTTACTCTGTCGATAATAGTTGCTGTAATGTCGGCTCTTCGCATCCTAATTTGAAGGAAACCGTAAACATTTTGTTTTGAAAAATTGAAGCCATGTTGACCTATGGAATCTACTGCTAATAATACATATTAGTCATTGTAGCAAATGCAGTTAATATGACATCTCTTTGAGACGACCAGGACTGTAAGGAATCTTTAGAGTAAGAAAGAAATCCAATATTTCTAGCTCAAAAACTAGCCAGCAATTAATTGATTTCAAATTTGTATTTTCATACTGAAATGTTAAACTGATTCAACTTTTGATTGTAAGCGTTGTTTTTGTTTCATTCCCGAATTATTTCACTGATTGAATTCTGAATTATCTGTTTTGACGGATGATTACTTGTAATAAAAGTTCTAGGTGGAATTTCTCGCTTTAATACCAAGATGGCTACATCTTATGTTTTTGTAATTGTATGTTACGACAAAATCGACCATCGAAATTCAACAAGTATAATTGCCAATGGGGGACAAACGAACCAAACGACCATCAGGCCATCAATGTTTTGACACTTAGAGTGAATAAGTATACTTGGATCAATAAATTGAAATTGAAACGGTCCGACACCAGAAATTCACGGTCCCCAAATATTTGACTGAATTTGGAATATTTCTGAACATTCTTCAATTTATCGTTTCAACATTTTGTTCGGCTCCATTTGCTCAGGAATAACGTCGCCAAATAAGGATCGAAGTGTATACCTGAATAATCCCAATTCTTGTGCAGCATGCACGTGCTAAACCTGCACTTGATTAGGGGGGGGGGGGGGGGATTCTACTTTACTTTATTCTACTTTATTCTACGTTGCCCCCCTCCCTTGATTACTACCATCAAGGTTGACTTTACCTTCAAGACTGCATACTACGTCTACATTGCAGTTTCGTCAACAGTGAGTGAGCAGAATAATAGCCCACATGCAGTACCGTGTTTTAGAAACCCGGCCAGTTTGTAGATCCCTGAACCGGCAACCACACTAACCAAGTTGTTTATAATCATCAACAAAATATTATGAATGAGTAACGTAGAGTGAAGATTCAAATCTTCATGTTACACAGCATGAGCAGTCAACTATTTATTTATAATTATATTGTATAGATTAAATATTTACGTCTCCTTTGCTGTAAAACATGAAAATATTGTGTTGATAATTGTTCCTAGTCAAGTTTGTGATCTGCAATCACGTTACATTATAATTAATTGATGAATATTTATTTTTATTTTAAGAAGTTACATTTTCTGAAGTATCTTGCAGTGCATTTCTTTCGTATTTGTCACAATAACAAATTATCGTTACGAAATATTTTCAACATATTCATACCGAGTTATTTATAATTAAATCCTTTTTGAGATTAGTCGTAATCGTTATCGTAAAAGTTATTTACTTTTGTCTGATGCAGAAAAATGTAGTATTAATGATTCAATAAGATAATGTTGTAAAAGTAATAGGGGAATCACTGATGACCTAGAACTTGCCCGACCCAGAAGTTTAAATCGAGACCAATTAAAATCTTAATTACTAACCGATTAACAATCTCTTACGATCACTAAATCAAGTCACTAGTCACGATGCACATCTAGTGACTACACAGTACACAAGAAGACGTATGAAGCGCAGGAGATGCTACTGCTAGACAGTATACAGTTACACTCATAGAATGCAGACATGTCCTCTTAGAAGAAGGCTCTGATTCTCTTCTATCATTCTATCATCTGACCGTTTTCTCTGCTTACTTGTCTATAATACAGATTTCGCATGCGACTATCCGATTAGCTTGATCACGTTCAAATGTTCATATTGTCATTGATGATTGGGGAACTGACTTTTACATAAAGAGTAGGATTTTCAGTCTCACCCGTTAAAGTTTTTCTGCATTGTTGATTTTTACAATTTTACAGTTTCGTGGTAACTGGAGTAAAAACCGTATAACATCCAGAATGTATAATGTATATCTGACAAATCAGCGAACCAAAGTAACTGAATATCTTAGATAAAGTGGAGGACCAATAGTTTTCTAGTATAATGAAGAAAGACTGATGTCAGGACAAAGTATTATAACACATATGTTAGCAGTGTTATTATTGCTGCTGTATTTACCTAGTACATCAGCAACCATCACCATACCTACAATCAAACTATTCCAAAACACCATTAAAAAATGGGCAATAGATCTTAAAGACGACAAGGATCGAAGGTAGGTGCGATAGGACAAAATAGCCGTTTTAACTGCTTGAAAATGAATATGATAGGATTAGTCGTGCGAGAGGCACATAACGATAATAAAACATGTTTAAAGAGTTTAAACCATTTCAGAGAAAGATGGGATCGTTTGGTTGAAGCGGTGAAGTCGGTTGAGAGGACCACATCGGGTGTGGTGCTCAGCAGTTTGAACAGATTTGCAGTTGCGGTGAGATTCAAGCTGGTTGCTCCTTAAACATACACACCATTCTAGGACTAAAGTTCTAACATGTTCTAACATATCATGTTGATTGTCGATGTAATACTAAACAATGTCAATATTTCACCGAAATATACAAATTTACTTAGACCTTAAAAGCCACTCGCCCACTCAGATAAGATATTTGAAGAAAATCAGATGTATCGCTAATGTGATATAAATCTTTCAGAATAATGAAGAGTTTGAGAATATAGTACGACCTTTGTTCGAGGGATTTAACATGTCAGCCACTTTAGCTGGTTTCTCGAAGCTTGAGAACAAAGTGAGGAAAAGAAGGAGGAGTAAAAGGTCACTTCCTAAAACATTTGACTATTGGGAGAATACAGTGGGTCTCAGCACTCCTCTCAACCAAGCGAGCTGTGGCAGTTGTTGGAGCTTTCCAAATGTAAGATATGGGAATCTTAATTATTTCTGGTCAGGCTTGATAACAGTAAAATTATATCTGGCAATAACTTTCATTCTTATATCTGACATCTGGGTGACCATCTAGGAACCATAGCTGTTATTTAAAAAGTTATAAGGCCTGATAATCTGAATCGTCTGTGAAATCAAGCAGAGTTCCTCTTTTTATCGTATCAACAATTTATTCGTGCAAATTTTTCCAGGTGGGAACGATGGAAGCTCTGAACAAGCATTTAACAGGAGATGACACGGAATTCTCGGAGCAATACTTCGTGGACTGCACCTTCGATTACTCGGGATGTGCTGGCGGTGTTGTTAATGAAGGGTACAAACTGACGAAGATGAGACAGTATCTTGTCTCCGCTGAAGACATGCCCTATGCTGCAGACTGTAAGTTAACATTCCAGTCATCACAATTGCAGTTTTTAAAAATATGTGCAAAATTAACTATTTTCTCTGGCAAAATTTGTCATCCCGATTCCGATTCGTAATCAGCTTGCAGGTTCTATGTAATGTCACCCAAGACTGATCTATTATCAATTATAAGCGCTGTCAAACTATTATAACTACTAGCAGGAACCCGTCTAACCCTAAAATGGTGTCAAGACTGAAGAGACTAAAACAATTATTACCTATTTAATTCGCGTTTTTTACACCACTTGGGGTACCAAATTTTGGGCTCTAAAACTCCTATTTCTTGGCCTATTTTTTATTTTTTCATGCTGATTTGGAGGCCATTAAAGCATTTGACCCAGTTAGGAACCGACCGGAAATCCGGCTGAATCCGGTTCCGGCCGGATATCCGGCTTCAAAATCCGGTTCCGGTTCCGGCTCCGGCTGGAAAAAAATTTGCCGGATTTTTGCCGGATTTCAGTTTTTTTTACCGAAAAAAATCAAAACAATATTTTCGGCTAATAATGAACAGGGTAGCCTGAATCGTGGAAAAAAAGTGGTTTTCAGAAAAACTTTAAAAAAATTTTGACTTAGAAGTTTTTCGGTCCGAGTCGTTCTCGAGACGTACCTCCTGTATCGAGAGCTCCCGCTTCCGAGCTCGTGTTGCAAAGGGGAGGCCTGCCTTCCAAGATCACATTACCGGGGAAACTTCGAGTCCAGAATTGTGTATCGATGGGTAGGTGCGGACTTCGAAAAACCGAAAAAATATTTTCGGCTAATAATGAACAGGGTAGCCTGAATCGTGGAAAAAAAGTGGTTTTCAGAAAAGCTTTTAAAAAATTTTGACTTAGAAGTTTTTCGGTCCGAGTCGTTCTCGAGACGTACCTCCTGTATCGAGAGCTCCCGCTTCCGAGCTCGTGTTGCAAAGGGGAGGCCTGCCTTCCAAGATCACATTACCGGGGGAAACCTCGAGTCCAGAATTGTGTATCGATGGGTAGGTGCGGACTTCGAAAAACCGAAAAAATATTTTCGGCTAATAATGAACAGGGTAGCCTGAATCGTGGAAAAAAAGTGGTTTTCAGAAAAACTTTTAAAAAATGTTGACTTAGAAGTTTTTCGGTCCGAGTCGTTCTCGAGACGTACCTCCTGTATCGAGAGCTCCCGCTTCCGAGCTCGTATTGCAAAGGGGAGGCCTCCTTTCGAGATCACATTACCAGGGGAAACCTCGAGTCCAGAATTGTGTATCGAGGGGTAGGTGGGGACTTCGAAAAACGGAAAAAATATTTTCGGCTAATAATGAACAGGGTAGCCTGAATCGTGGAAAAAAGTGGTTTTCAGAAAAACTTCGAAAAATTTTAACTTAAAAGTTTTCGGTCCGAGTCGTTCTCGAGACGTACCTCCTGTATCGAGAGCTCCCGCTTCCGAGCTCGTGTTGCAAAGGGGAGGCCTGCCTTCCGAGATCGCATTACCGGGGGAAACCTTGAGTCCAGAATACAGAATAGTGTATCGAGGGGTAGGTGCGGACTTAGAAAAAACCGGAAAATATTTTGGGCCACCTCCCTGGGCTAGCCCCCGGCTATAATCGCAAAATTGGCAGTATTTAACCTTCTGATTATGAAATACGAAATATGAAGGTCACGTGTTCAGGGTCTGGGTAGCTACTTAATTAGCTCATTACTGCAATCACGTGACTCAGCTCTAGACGCCAGACGGTGATTAGTACTGTACTAGACAGTGCCTGCTTACGAACAACCTTATTAAGCACCTCTGGTTGTAAGTCACGTGACCCAATGATACTCAGACTTGCATGAATTCGCACAAACGCGCTCAACCAGGGGTCTGGCAGCATATGCCAATTAGATATCATTTCTGATTATTACTCGTCTAGTGTCGTGACTCGTGTTATATTGTGTCTGCTACGTACTGCTTGTTTAAGCAATGTCTAGTAGTAGATAGGAAGATTTGTAAAAAAACTATATCTGTTCGGACGTTGAAGCCGCCCTAAGTCGAGTCGAGTAGTAGTAAATCTAAAACATCGTCCGTCTGGTTGTTCTACTCAGAAGAAAATGGGATCCCTTATGCAAGCTGCAAGAAGTGCTCGATGAAGATTAGGCGTGGAAAGGAAGGAAATTTTCCGGCAACATCCGGCAAAAACAGGCAAAATCCGGCAAAATCCGGCTGCCTTTTATTTCACTCTAAAACCACCGGTTCCGGTCCGGCAAAATCCGGCTTGCCGGATTTGAGATCCAAATCCGGCTGAATCCGGTCCGGCAGCCAAAACCCCAATCCGGTCGGTTCCTAGACCCAGTCAAAAAAGATTCAGTTGTATATCTTTGACGGTTTTTGAAGAAATTCGCGTTTTTTAAATTTTTTATCAATAAACTTTCAAATTGTTACACAAATACATCATTTTATTTCAAAGAAAATATCGCCGAATGACCTTACATGCCTTGACAAGTGACCGAGTGTAAACAAAATAAGGGACACCGAAACACCAGTTGACCAGTAAACTGATCATAGCAATTACATCGGGCCCTAAATGCACCTATAAGTGAAGCGATGCTGCAACCAAGGCATGCTAGGTTTATTCCATTGAACTAATAAGGTTACAGCCTAAAATATAAATATAATAAATAACAATGTACCATAAATCATAATTATAAACACACTTTATTTAACATATTTTATTAATTATACTTCATATCAATTTATATTTAGACAATATAGTTACATTAAGGTAAATTGTTTAACTGTCAGAGGATGTTATATGGTCGTTTAGAACTGTCCAGAGGTACTTAATTAAATGGGTTTTAAACACGGATGGCCTTGAGATTTCCCTTAATTCATAAGGGAGTTTATTCCAAAGAATGTGTGCTCTGTAAAAGTAAGACTTAGATATGCCCGAACATCTGGTCTGGCTTGACGTAAGGTTTTGTGGAACTTGAGGAGAAATGTCACTAATCATACTGAGATCGTCTAGATGTGATCGCCTTAACCTACTTCCCATGAAACGTCGTAAGTAAGGTGGAAATGTCACAACTGACATGTCATAAAAAATATTATGAAAATATAATATATCCTTGTAATCAAACCTTACCGAGAGTGGAAGGATATTTAGTTCCTTACACGCTATGAAATACCTTTTTTTGTCCCTAAGGCTCAAGTAAATATCATTAAGGATCCACTTGATACCTCTTTTTTGTATCGATTCAAGTTTCTCCACCGAGGTTTCTGAATGAGGCCGCCAGACAATTGTGCAGTGTTCGAAATGACTTCTAACCTGAGATAGATAGAAGGCCCGACGTTTTTTAGTGTTCTTGGTGAAGTAACATGTTCTTTTTAGAAGGCCTAACCTCTGACTAGCCTTAGAGTATATCATATCACAGTGATGTGACCAATCTAACTTACTATTGATATGTACTCCAAGATCTTTTTCAATGTCTGTGTATTCGATAGCCGTTTCATTCATTGAGTACACAAAATTAACACTACGATTCATAGAATATGCTCGGGTAATAGAAAGAACGTGACTTTTTGAAGGGTGAAACACCATCTTATTATGATGAGCCCAATTTTGAAGACTGTTAATATCCCGCTGGAGCAGCCAATGGTCATCCTGGGACGTGATTCTACGCCATATTTTTGTATCATCAGTATACATGGTTATATTTGTTTCCGGTGACAAATCCTCTGTAATGTCATTAAGAAAAAGTATAAATAAAGTAGGCCCTAAAATTGAGCCCTGGGGGACACCTGATCTAACCTGACAGGGAGCAGACATTTTATTTCCAATGACAACCCTTTGGTATCTGTTTTCAAGGTAGCACTTGAAGAATCTCAGTAGAGATGCATCAATGTTATATTGTTCTTTGAGCTTCAACAGAATTATGTCGTGGTTGACAGAATCAAAAGCTTTTTGGAAATCAAAGTATATTATGTCAGTGCGAACATTGTCATTGAGAGATAGGGCTAAGCTGTCACAGAAATTTACTAGCTGAGTTGTACATGATTTCCTACTCATAAAACCATGTTGACGTTGATCAATAAGATGTTCACATCGATTGAGCAATTCATCCCGGATTACTTTTTCGTAAACTTTCATAATAATGCTTGTCAGAGAAATTGGCCTATAGTTGTTAACTTCAATTTTAGAGCCTTTTTTATGAACTGGAACAACGTTTGCCATTTTCCAATCTGCTGGAATACATCCAGTTTTATAAGAAGCTTCAAAAAGGATAGCAAGAGGCTTAGACAGGCTCACTGAACAGTACTTTAAAATTCTTCCATGGATATTGTCGGCCCCTTGCGCTTTACTTGGATCAATATTTTCAAGTAAACCTTTGATTTTACAAGTGTCGAAATTGACCTGAAAATCACGGTCACTGGAAAAGTCGATATCTATATCATAATCACTACCCTCTGTAAACTGTTCGTTAAAATATTTATTGAATAACTCACACTGTCCTTGCGGATCGGACCGTAGGCAACCATTGTAGCTGTCTGTTTCAGGAATGCGATTAGAGTTTGATTTAGATTTCACAAAAGACCAGAACTTTTTGTTAATGAGATTTCTGTTATCATCATCTTCAAAGTTTGCGTCCAATTTTGCATCAACGAGATTTTTAAAATCCCTCCTAGCTTTGGAAAATTTTAAATATTTTTTTGGATTAGAAGACTGTTTCCATTCGTCATGTAGTCGCTCCTTTTTTCTACATAAATCAAAGACATCTGAGTCAAACCATGGGGGTTGAAATTCATCGGAGACAGATATCTTAGGAATATGTGAATTACAATGAGAAGTGAAAATAGTATTGAAAACTGACCAGGCCTCTTCGACTGGTTTACCACTAAGTAGATGTTCCCAGTTTTCAGAATTCAGTGCATTATTTAAATTAGTCCAATTGGCCCTTTTGAAGCTATAGATTTTTCGTTTGGTAGACTTTTTCTTTCTAGCGTTAAGTCTTATGTCAAAGTTGATGCCGTGGTGTCAGTAAAATGGCACAGATAAATATATATATATCGTCTCGCTTTATATATAGTAAGATATATAAGTGTTAGCGTAAGTAAAATGATACAATCCGCAGATACGCCGTGCAAAATACTGGAAGACATCGTCAACTTTAAAAATAACGCCATGACAAAGATATGGATACAGGATTTCGTGCCACTCCAATCAAGTGAGGTTGGAATGTTGGAAGGATTAACTACATCTCCAGTTGCGTTTGGAACTATGATAGGCAATGACCTCTTCGCCTATTCTGGAGGTTAGTTACACTGCCTGGGTTTATACACAGTTATCCATACACTTTAAAGTATGAACCATCGGAAGACACCCCAAAGATAACATGAATAGTTTAAGTCTAGAACATGCTACGTTTCACATTTGCAGGAGAGTATAGAGACACACAGTGTGCTACTAACCCAATGCCTCACGCCATGTTACTAGTAGGATACACTGACAAAACACTTCGTGTCAAAGCAAGGTAAGATCATGATCACATGTGTATCAACATTATTAGGAATCATCACCTTTACTCCTCTGATTTGGTGAAAAAAAGAACATTTTCTTTGAGACTTATTTTCAGTTCTCAATCATATTTTGAACTTCATCAAACAAAATATCCCAAAGCTACGGAACTGATTTTGGAGACAATGGATATATTGACTATGCTCGTGGAGACGAGAGTCTCCTGAACTGTGGGTTCTACAAGAACGCCTTCTCACTTTTAGCTACTTATAGAAGAGGTAACAATGAAGACTATAATATTTGTGTTCAAGATGTTCATTTTATTTACTTCTCTTTAATATCTTGGTAATGAAACGTAACTTTTCTGTTCTGCCAGATCTGAAGTATGCATATTGTAATGAGGGGCACCCGACGACCTATCAACAATGCAAAGATTCTTGCCAAGCGATGGATACAAAACATAAAAGTGGATGGGATTTGGCGACCATCCCTACAGAGTATCATAACAATCTGTTAGTGGATAAATTAGCAGATGATTATCCTGGGGAGAAGACAGATGACAAATTTAAGCTCTTTTGGATTGGGTTATTGTAAGTTACATACATATACTGAAGCTTGATTGTTTTTGTTGAATGAGTTCTATAAAAGGGGTACTATAAAAGTTCATTTGAAGATTACCTTTTAAGACCTGTTCAGGTAATGTCTCGGTTCGCAAAACCAATGAGAAATCTCAAAAATTAATTGCAATTATTTACAACAGAGATGAAGATAGAACTGGAGCATACAGGTGGCTGGACGGGTTTACGCCGGCTAACTATATCAACATACCGAGTCATGGTAGAGGGAATCATTATGGGTTGATAGATGAGAACTCTGGTGAATGGGTCACCAAGAATTCTCTCACGTTTGAAGCAAGGGGTCTCTGCAGCCGGGCAGGTATAAAACAACCCAACATTTTATCGCCTTATTAGTTATTTAAGTATATTGACCCCTTATCTATTCATTAATTTGTCAAGAAGAATAAGTAGAATCGTGTAACTTATTACACAGCTTTTTTCAGAATAACCATAACCCTTCTTTCCAAATACAGTGAACTGTTGGAACATAGAAAATGCAGTCCAAAACGGGAATGTTAGATTTAGCAAAGCAGATTTGACTGAAGGCACAGAGGCAACGGTCAAATGTAAAGAGGGAACACTAGTGGGTTCAGATACGTTACAGTGTATTGGGGGACAGTGGGATCAGCCTCTTCCATTATGTAGTAACGGAGGTAGTAAAATCTCATTTCAGTAATCAGTTCCCTAGTTTCTTAGCGGATTGAGTTAAGAGTTTTTGGAAAAATTGCATAACTTTTTAGAAGTTATGCAATTAGAATTTAAACGAAGATGCGTTGATGACGATTGACGATATGCCTTTTTCAATTGCCAGTTTTAAACTTCTTTCCATCAGGTTCAAATGGCAATGCCCCGTATGATGTTAATAATGGTGAGTGTACTGTGATCAAATCAGATCTGTTCATCCTAGAACCACCCGAGGAGGACTTCATTGCAGATGGAGAAGAGTTGGAAGCAATATGTGTAAACAATAAGAAGATCAGCCAGACTATGACATGTTCCAAGGGTGTATTTCAGCCTGCACTTAATCCAAAGACACTTTGTTCAGGTAAAAGCTTTCAAACAGCTAAAGCTGGACACTCGACCTTATCTGCAATTTTAGCCCTTCTACTTGGACTTTTAATGATCTAAAAATGCGTCACTAATTAAACTTTTTTTTTAATGATGGCATGTTTACGGACACTGCTTAACGATTCCCTGAATTTTTTTGTCTTTTGAGGCTTTTTAGATTGTTTAAACCTTTTCTGTTTTCGATGTAATATAAACTATCGGTTGATGATTATGTTGTTAAGATTTTGCAGAGTTAATCTAAGCAAGATTTAATTTTGTCCCATGCCCTCTGAGCTGGATTCTCACAATCGGCAATAAATAAACTGACAACCACCCCACAAGATCAATCAACTTAATAACACCAGAATGTGTGTGTGTCTGTGTGTGTGTCTGTGTGTGTGTCTGTGTGTAATTTCCGAACGGTTATACAAAAAAAACGGTAATAGTTACGGGACTGGTTTTTTCGGTATAGTGCCGACAAAACTCTGACGAAGCCAATAAGCAAATTTTATAAAAATCGGCCGGTGGTAAGTGGTTTAATTGATGGTTTTGTACCACAAAATATGTTACATAAAATGGCTTGAGAAGAACGGCAAGAGTTACGGGGCTAGCTCTCTCTCTCTCTCTGCATATGTAGCGTATATATTACATGGCGTATATATTACATGGTCATATAATACTATAAACTTATTAGGGGAGGGAGTGCTCAAACGGTCTGTTTGGACTGTAGAGAGAGTTCATACTTTCATACGACAATGTAATGCATGTTCACAAATATGATAGGCTGGTGTGGTGCATGGTGTTAAGGGTTAATTTCTATTGATTATTGATTAAGAATTACTATCTTTTAAGCATACTATTGGATACGTGAGGGCACTCCGAATAGAATTGCTCGCCTAATCCGGGTTTTGACTCAGCGGGTAATTACTCCTACCCTTTTTAACTGCGGCAGTGAAATCCCGGCCGTAGGCCGGGTTACACTAGTCATTAAATAATTTCCAAACTTCCACAAGTGCTAAAAACACTTGCAAACTCAAATTAGCAGATCCACGCACCTTGTTTGGGAGTCCTTGGTCCAGCTGCCAGATGGTGCAGAAGAGAACACCCCTCGTTATCCACCAGATTCACATTACCGCCCTGGTCCAGCAGGTACTGTAATATCTCCACGTCAGCCGTCTTCACCGCGTGGTGCAGCAGCGTCTGTCCGTCTGAGTCTGCCATATCCAGGTAGCTGGCAGAGGGATTGTGGAGTTTAGTGGTTTTCTGGCTAACTTTCATTAAATATCAATTAGTCTATATATATATATCCCTTACTATTCTCATGGCATTGGCGAGCCATCTGGAAACATTCGATTGATCATGGTGATAACTTTAAGATATTGGGCTGGGTATCTCAAATCTGTATCATTATAATTTCATTCAATACCCAATTACTCTTGACCATTAGCAGTTAAATATAGCTGATCCAACGTGAATGAAATTTGATTGGATGGTTAATACCACTCGTCGAATGTACATTACGAAAATTTTCCCATAAAAGTCACCAGTAAGTAGGCAAAGAAACATGACATGGCAGCAAATAGCTACTTAGTTCAATTCAATGAGGTACTGGGTATTGACATAGGGTTGTTATTGCATGCAACCAACGGCTCAGAGCTGTCTTCATTTGGTTCAGCCGTCTCAGCCTAGTAGTCTGTGTGTCGTGCCTATAACTGCGCGAGTTCTTATTTCACGATGTTTTAGCCCCGGTCACGAAACCTGGCAAGAACCTTACTTTAATAGCCCTAATAGATGTGGATACTGGCGGGGAGGTGATCATTGTTTGTTTACTTGTTTAGAGCCCAGTTGTTGACTCTAACTGTACTGTCCGGAACACGATTGGAAAGCAGTTCATCAATCTGAATGTCAACCGATCTGTCATAGTGGAGCAATAGCTTGAACGTTAGCAGGAACAAGAGCTGGAAGGAGAGCAAGCAAAACAATACTATTTTTTAGGGCACGGACAAGGGTAGCTGGCTAGTCGCCAACTTCTCCACGCCACGCGTTGGAGAAATTCCAAGAATTAGCTGCTTTGGCAACGTTCCCAGGAATTCTGTGTAAAAGAAGTGGACGGTTACGATGTTTCATATCACGTGGTGCGCTTTCGTGTCACGTGGTATAGGACTCGGCGTATGCTATTGGTGGCACGTGGTACGCACGTGACGCGCCCACGTGATCGCGCGTCTAACTGTTCTACTATTATCGAGTTTCTAATCAGCAGTATCATTGATTATTGTAAGTCGGAGAATTGAATGATAAACATCAGTTAATTAATAGTGAGCACATGTTAAGCAGGCTGAGGAGGTGATCATTGTTTGTTTACATTTTAGGTGGAGCACATGTCAAGCAGGCTGAGAAGGTGATACATATTTTGTATTATAGAAGGTTTGTAACACTTGTAACGCCTTCTTGTTACCCCCCTTTGAGGGCCCCGAATTATTTTCTGAACGAAAGCTCAAAAATAACCGAGAAATCAACCTTCTTATTAACTCATTTTGATGACCGTTTCTAACCTAAAATTGCACGAAAAATCGATTTAGCTAGGTTTCAGAACCTATAAACACTTCCTTATCCCTCAAAATCGATGTTTTATAGTTTAGAATGCGAGCAACAAGCAACATATATTTTGATCCTTCGGTTCTACAGCTCTTGACCTAGGGCTGAAACCGAAAGATCGAGGCAATCCTCACCTTAACTGATCGAACTTGAGCGAAGAGCAGAGTACGACAAAACACAGCAGGTAAGCAACTCATTTTGGTGACTGTTCCTCACCTGTACAACGAGAAATCGATTTAAGTTGGTTTTACAGCCCAATAACGCTTCCTTTTTCCTCAAAATTGTTGTGTTACTCAAACAAAGAACATGTTGATTCTGCAACGAAAGAACAAGGAGATTGTCTCATTAACAACTCGAACAGGTTCTATCACAATTTTCAGAGCAGAGCACGATATAGCAAAAGTCAAAAGAAACACAATAAAGGTATATAACAATCATAATAACAACTGAATTATATTTATTCGGACGACGGGCAGCCCTGATGTGCTCCGTGATCCCGACCAATTGTAATAGAGGTGTTCTGTCACGTGACGCTGATCCGTCCAATCACAACAGGAAGAGTGAGCAGAGGGACATTATATCGTATGTTTACCTTTCTTATCTGTATTTGACCCTTTGTTCACATTGTTATCTCTGCCACAGGTTGGCAATTTCAAGGTGCTCTTATCTGCAGACTGCACCTCGGTACACACGCCATGATTACGTCATACAGAACTAGAAATTGTGTGAACCGTGATCATTACAATGTAACCGTGCCCACTGCCCATGTACAATATGAGATTTTTCTGAACGGGCCCCTATAATTTTAGGTTAGAAACGGTCATCAAAATGAGTTAATAAGAAGGTCGATTTCTCGGTTATTTTTGAGCTTTCGTTCAGAAAATAATTCGGGGCCCTCAAAGGAGGGTAACAAGAAGGCGTTACAAGTGTTACAAACCTTCTATAATACAAAATATGTATCACCTTCTCAGCCTGCTTGACATGTGCTCCACCTAAAATGTAAACAAACAATGATCACCTCCTCAGCCTGCTTAACATGTGCTCACTATTAATGTAAACAAACAATGATCACCTCCCCGCCAGTATCCACATCTATTATAACCTAATTATTACCCTAATTATAACTTTATAACTTTAATATATTAATTATTAACCTGGACCTCGCTAAACTAAACATCCTGAATCCTAATTGTATATCTCGGAGTTAGTGGTAATGCTTCATGAGGTTACATGGTCATGGTGTTAAAATACTGCCACTCATTCTCTCAAGTAACAATCTTAAAAACTTGAAAATCATGATTTTACCCTTTTCAAACTTATGTCCGGATCTCGATTATCAAGAGTATAATATTTGAAGCATAATAATAGCGTGGGATCACCTGACCGGGGCTCCCAAAAGAGATCTATAATTTTACCAATAAGTCCACCAACGAGCAGGTTTAGTGCTATAAGCTGCAATAACTTGCTAACAACTTCCTTCTTAAAACCAATAATTAGTTATTACCACAACTACGAGCCACGCAGCTCATTTTAATTATTCTCCTCCTAATTTAAATGAGCACCGTATTATATTACTGTATTGTTCTCTTAATTACTCAATTCCATGAGCCGTTTATATTCGTCTTTTGAGTTTTGGGAATCGTCGCTCCCGAATCCAAAATTCTAATTAATGATGGTTAAGCCTGAATGATAAACCAAGGACTATATAAATGGTACAGGTATTGTGCATTGTGTTGTATATTCAACATTTTCGCCGATGCCACGCGGACGTTTGTTTATATCATTGTTTTATTCATGACACCTACATTACGTCATGTTTATGGCTCTGTTGGAGAAGGAACAATTCTGTGATCAACCTAAACCGTTAGAATGCCTCAGAAATGACAGGAGCTTATTGCTCAATAAAGTGTCAACTTCACAATGGCGTTTCGCCACCTCAAAATGACACATTTGTCGTTTCTAAAGTAAGTATCTTAATTTCTCTTTTGTTAAATGCGGCTGGGGACGAATCACTTTGAATTTTCTCGCGAGATTTGGAGGATAAGTTATCACTGCAAGGTACTGCTGCTTAGTACGGCGTTCCAGTTGAACGCATGTAATAATGAGCCACAAATTGCAGGAAACATTAGGTCCTCATTGCTTCCACAGTTGCTATGCTCTCTAGAAACATTATATAGGCTGCGGGAGAGAGACCAAGGAGTTTAGCATTACGTAGTGCAGAGTACAGTCTGGATATTGTTTTTACCACAATTTCAGCTGGTTTTTGTGCAGTATTTTCAATTTCAAGATAATTTCATGGGCAGAGTTTTCGATTTCATATGTTTCTGCGGAAACATGGTGGGAAACATTGATCTTCATTGGCTTGGTCCTCCACAAACAACCATTTGTACGAGGCTTAAAGAGGTAAACACTATTTGGGTCTTGGTACAAATTGTTCTGGCACTCATAGTCCAGCTTGAACTTGCTAAGTTTCATTTGTCGTGAAGGAGAACAACTGAAGTCTGGAACAAATCACACTCCACCAAACACGGAAACGAATCTAAGTTCAGACAATGTGATCAATGTAATGACTCCTCTCACAACATTAGTAGGACCTCCTCCTAATATACCTACTCTCACTACCACCACACTTCCACTCAGCCACTGGATCTCACCATTACTGTTTAATCCCATTCAAGGGATTAGGATCTGACATTTGATACCTTGGATTATACTCGGTATTTTGTGTGTCTCTCCCCACACCCAACTCTAGATACTCATGGATATTTTGGATTCTTTCATTTGTCATTGTAGGTAATTGTACAGGTTTGTTTTGTTTACATGTCGTTTTGGAAGTAATGCGGGGTTTTTTACAATCGTTTCTGTCTTATAATCAGCCTGGCAAATGGGATTATAACTCTTTGTGTTTTCTCCACTACTCAAAGTTAACCCGGAATTTAAGGTAGAGATGTATTCAAGGATTTCGCTCCTATAATACGTCTTGATTTAGCTATAAGCTGTAACAGAGCGTGCTCTATCAGACCTACAATTAGTGCATGTTTTAGGTCATCTGCAACGTCCCCCAGCCCCCACCGGACGTATGACTTGTTGATAAGCGAGGGCGGGAGGGGCAATACATGTTAATAATATCCATGTTATCCACCTGTTTTACTTTTTACATAGGTACCGTAAGCTCTATAGAAATATGTCTTGTAGTTACATTATGTTCAAAACGTACTCTTTGTTGCCAATCTAAATGTTAATTCTACAATAATTACTTACGATTTGCCGCAATGTTCCAACAGGTTCATTACAGTTGACAGAGATTGTTCTTTGATAGCTGTTATCATGTCGTCAAGCGCGTTGTCAAAATCCTTCTCCTGAAACGTAATGAGATGATCTTATTTGACCTAATAAAGTCGTCAAATAATCATATAATCAAATAAATGACACTCTCATAATATTCCCGCTCCATTGTGGCGAATTAAAACTCCAAGTGTCGTCACTCGTAATATGTGCCGTTTTGAAGTCCACAGAATTTGAACTGACCGTCATCTTGCAGAGAATATGATAGTTGTACGGACAAGGTCCCATATCGAGATATGATGTTTCCCATGAGGACATGTAGGACTAGCGGAAACAATGCAACATAAAAAAGAGTCGTAACCAGATACGACAAGAAACTTAAGATAGTGTTCAGCCATGAAAGGTAAATGTATATATTTGACCAAGCAGTACAAATGACGCAATAATGCATTTACGATAGCACCTACTCCGAACTTTTACTTCTTAATTTAATCTTGTGTTCTTGCTTTGGGTGAATCTCGAAAACACATACTTACTTGCCAGGATTTTTTGTACTCCAAAAAGGTGAGACAAAAAAAGGAAAAATTGACACCTTTTGATGAGAGAAGAATAGTACTCACGTCTAATTATAGTTCAAGTAATACGACACCTTAAAGACATAACAGCTGCCGTTCCACTGTACATGGAAGAAGTGCACTGCTCATTAGCTTTTGTATCTTGACTGTGTCAGTCCCACGCTCCCACGCGCTATATAATCAGTGGTCTTCTCTTTGTTTAGGTTATTGAGCTTTTCTTATATTAATATATCCGCCTTAAACTTGTATCGCATCAAAGTTGAGCACTTATTTCGAAAAAGACCGCCAAAAATGCGTATTAGTTGGACTTATGTAATTCGATGATAATTTATCAACCGATATGTCTGAAGCTAGTGAGTAGTCCGACCATCATTTCCATGAATCAAACTATTGTTCACATAGTTTCAAGGAATCCACCACATACCAACAAAGCACTCAACATGCTATGTTACGTTTTTAATTGCATCTCGTAAAACTCTAAAACAATTAGCCTCAAAGATCTCTCCTAAAATGAATGGCTGGCAGCCAAGATTCAATGGCGTGTAAGAGCGCTAAAAGAACGCTAAAAGAACGGTATAGCACTAACCTTAGAAGACAGGACCAGCGAGACGTCTATCTCCCTCCAGAGGGCGTTGTACGAGTCCTGAACCTTGTTACAACTACTGCACATACTGTTCACCAAACACTTTCCACAGAGGGGAAGGTTGCAGTGCCTGGAAGGGTGGTTTAATGTGAGCTTCTCAACCAGACCGAGTCAGGAACTTGTGGTGGCAGCGCAGTTATTGGTTATGTAAACCTTTTAAACGGGGTACCATGATAAGCGAATTGTTCGCTGAGTTTTGCTTTAATACTTGTGCTTACTTAACTAGACAAAATCAGATGTTTTGTGTTTGTCGGGGCGGGGTTATGTAAGCCTAAATGTTTACTAAACTTAGAGATTTATGTAGGATAATATCCATTATCCAATGATATGGCGATCTTGTTATGCTACAATCTAAGATTCTAACCATGTGTGCAGTCTAATTTTGTACTTGGACGATATACCCGCAACCGACCAAGCCCCTATAACAATGTTAGTAACTTAGGCTGTTATAGTACAGACTAGTTAACAGTAGGATATATCAATTTATCACCGCATATTCGAATGAGGGGCAATGAGGGAGTTGATACCCGAGGTGCCTCTACAAATATTAGTCATCAGCCATTCTCATTAATATAATCAGATAGTTGTATTAACCAGGATGATGTAACTGTAGAGTGTAGTCTGCAACTATAACACATGCTGTGTAAGGAGTAACATTGGATCCTCCCTCTCTTACTCTCTGCAACTCCAACTTCCCGCACGCAATCTGTCCTCTTCTATAATCAGCTACTGGTACATTGTTTGTGGTTTAACTCCAAGTTTAGAGCTCTTTTGTTTTGAGTGATGGGCACTTACACAGGTAGATGTAGACAACAGCCAGCTTATTTGAACGACAGTTTACGATAACTTGTGCCTCTCGCGGAAGGCTGTGCCTAGTCAGAGTTGGAATTTGGTTTGCTTCATGCTAATTGTGCATTGAATATTTTTAGATCTAAATTCCTAGTACATAATATGTAATTTGTAACCAATTTCTTTCGTGAAGTTGACCGATTTATTAAAGTTACCATTGTGGAAGACAGTAATCCGGACCGATTCAGCCAATAAATCCATCGAGCACTCCAAAGAAAAGTGTATTTCCTAGATCTTGCCGGGAAATCGTAAATTCAGACCTGCATTCTTTTGTGCCCGGTTAATTAAGTTGCCGGGATGTCAGAAATTTAATAGATCGGGCTAGTTGCTGCAGATTTTCGATTCTTTAATAAATGCCCACTTTTCATTTCCGCGGTCCCTTTAGTAGTGCGAGCCCTGCAGTGCGAGCTGATCGATTTAGATCTGACAGTGTTCATCCGATACCATTTTATTTTACAATAGAAATCACCACATTTAGCAGCTTCAAACTTGTACTCTAAATATAGCATTCGTTGTCTGTTACTAATTAAGGTTTTTATATTGAAAGGACTCAGTTTGTATTATTTTTGCAAATTTAATTTCGGTTATTCGACGCTGACCACACGAAATTGCAATTCCATCACAAACATTTTTTTTGAATTTTCACTTTAATCAGATTAAAGATTCTTACTAATACTAAGTCTAAGACCCATTCTAGTCTGGTTATAGTACGGGTTAACAGGTTGGCGAGAAATTGTCGAGAAATTGCCTCCAAATGATATATTTGACGGATTCTCAAACACGGTAATGCACAATAAACCGCGCCCGCAATTATATGGTCCCAAAATAGTAAATACAATTAATAAAGTACAACAAATTGCAGGATGTGATATGTGAAACAAGCAGTTCATATTGTTAGCCAGGGCGGGCACACTGGCCAATTCAGAGCTAACAATATTATTGTTCTTGATAACATGAACTTTTTCAGTCTCTGTCATCCTTCTGAGCTGTAGTTTTAAGCTTCTTAAAGTTAAAAGCTCTCCTCTTGGGGGTCGTTCACATATTACGTAATCAGCTGAGGGGGGGGGGGGATTTCCGAATGATTACGCTAGTGTAATTTTGATACAATAGCTATGTGTAACAGAGGAATTTAATTCTCCCTTTGAATCAATCAAGCTAGATGATTTGTTGTAAATACTGAGATCAAACTATCAATTTACAGGCTATCGTCAAACATGTTGCAATGCGTCATCTTCAGTGACATAAGCCTAAAAATTGTAAAAAGTTAGTAAACCCAAAATTCCTTTAAAAATATGAACACTCTTAAAACGGTTATATAATTAATATTAAGATGTTAGGAGTAAGGGAAGGCCAAAAGGATTTATACTTTTATAGTGTTTATTCCCAAAGGTTTTAAAGTCTTGAGTTGTTGAATATATTTATGTTCACGAACTTCTAAAGTTTTAGGACTAGAATTATCAATAATTGCCACATTGAAAATGTTGTTAAAATCCTCCCTTTGTCTAAAACCATGATCCAACAAATGTAAGCCCAAACTATATTCATCACTTGTTTCATCTACCTTATCACCATTTAAAGTTTATAATATTTGACCCTATGTTCTCCAGTCCTAACCCGTAGAGAGCGAGTAGTGCGACCGACGTAAGCCTTTCCACAGAAACTACATTGGAATAGATAAATGATGTTGTAACTCAGGCAGTTTCCAGGGGAAGCTTTAACCTTCTTGCCGTTCACTTTGAATTCATGGCTGCCTTTGACAAGTTCGCAGCATTTGCATCTTGGCATATGGCATTTGCTGGTTGGACCATGTTTAGCTCCTAAAGCAAGTTCTTTCAATTTGACGAGGCGAAATTTTAGGCTTGGCCCTGTCTTCTTGGTGTAACTGAATATTTTCTTCCTAGGCGTGGAAGCTGTTGAGGAGGTCTCTTGGGATGTTTCAACAGTGTCACTTTCACTGAAACTCCTTGTTCTTGAGAGGTGTTCTTCATACTTCTTAGTCACAGACACCAGATCATCATCACTACCATAAGTAGATATGACCCTGATTAGAAGGTGTAAAGATGTCTGGTCATCAGGATTCAGGAGTCTGAACTTTGCGTAACAGTGATCTTGTTGAATTGAGAACCTTATTACTAATGTTCTCAACCATTTTCCTAGGGTAACACGCAGCAAGGAAGGCTTTTTTGAGGTTGGCGAGGTGTTCTTTGAAGCGTTCTTGGCAGTTGATGATCCTTCTGAGTCTAAGGCATTGAGAGTACACGATACCGGAATAGATATGGTTTGGGCGAGAGCTTTTAAAGTGTAAGTATGAACGAGAGTCCGTTTTCTTTATATGAACAAATCCGTTTCGAAAGTGAACATTATGTCAAGGAAAGATACGTATTTACCAGGATCTTCTATTTGGTACTCATCAATGATTAGGCCATGGGGCCGGGGAGGAGTGCTTTGTTGACATCTGCAATCCAAATGTTGAACTCATCTGTAGTTCCCTCAAACAAACCTGCTCCGTCGTCAATGTAACGCCTGGTTGATACGATCTTCTTCATGAGCTCTGGGTTACTATAAACACATTTGTTCATTAGGGAGTAGACTGCTATGTTTGCGATTTGGACACATGGTGATCCACCCGTAGGGATACCAATGAGCTGTATGAACCAATTTTGATCGACCACCCCAACAGAGGATCTGAGGCTTAATTCCACCAGTTGTGTGAGCCATTGGCAGAAGTCTTCAGACCAATCTTCTCTACATGATGACATAGCGGACCTCAAGGCCTCTATGACGAGTGTTAAAGTCGTAGGTAAACGATCTGAAGCCTTTCTTCTGTACTGGGGAATGTTCAATATCCACGAATTCCAACCATTGAAGGGCATCGGTATGTGTAAAACTGATTACGGAGGGGGGGGGGGGGGGGTTAAAATGTTCCAAAAAATGATTACGTAATATGTGAACGACCCCATGTCACCAGTTCTGCCATGGCTGATGTAAATGGTAGCCCTCCTTAAAACGTAGTAATTTTGAGATTCAGATCGTCGTAAATCTGAACTCCGATATCAACACACATTTCTGTCGAAACTTCGTTCATAGCTAAATGACCATCATGAGAAGGCACGGTTGAGATGATCGGGCGTTTAGCATGGTATTGTTTTCTTTCTAGACTAGTAACACATACGATAACTAACCTGCTACTAGTACTGCCACCCCACGTGCAAGAAACCAGCGATGTAATAATGACTTCCTACGTATCGCTTTGTACACTCCACTAGACTCATCTCGACCACTATATCCGGTACGGGAAAGTCTGTAGCCGTGATAAGAAACCACCATGAAGCAACTCATGTCTCTCGGACACTGATCAGTATTTGAATGAGTATTGTGTATCTTAATAGTTTTCGGACGTTATCTGTATTTGAGAGACAATTTTATAATTTATATACGAGCTATTTCTTGATTGTTTCACACTTCATATTTCATAATTTGTTTCACACTTCATATTTCATAATTTGTTTCACACTTCATATTTCATAATTTTATTACTAGGTGGAGGTGACGTTATTGAGACTTTGGGCGGCCATAAACCTCGTGTTTTAAAAGTTGTCCTCTGTACTTGTTTCACTGACCCACGCTTTATAGCATTTATACATTTCGGCCCATTTTATATGTTTGTTCGATTTGCTGTACATTTGTATATTTGCTATTTTGTAAAAGTTTCAAATCAAATCAAATCAAAATCATGTGACTGTATGTCACGTGATAAAAAGTCAGGGTATTACCATGGTAACGATTACAATGGTAAGCCTTTTTCGTTCTAGTAATACTAGGTGCTACCTAGATAGCCAGTCTAGAATGGATCTTAGTCACTGATTTTGAGTATTGACAGTAAAACAGCGTGATAGATAGTGACCCCTCTAACCCTTCACTACCTGAGATATCTATCAAGTCATGTCATATTAACCAGTCACCACCACCCAACATGTCGCCTCCCTGGCGCCCGCAACATACCAACCCCTATAATATGTTAAAGTAGATACCATGCAGTAGAGAACCTTAAACTAGGCTCCACCAGGATGGTTATTGGTAATAATGAATATCGTGATCAGCCGATACTGGCTACATAATCTACATAACGCCACTTGTAATTACAACTTCCACAAATCTGATAGCTAGAGACTTGACTGGTACATGACGGTGTGGTGGATACCCACTTAGTGGGCCGGGGGT